AATGGCATCATGAGGTTTGCAGACAAATGGATGGATCTAGAAAAAATCATCCTGAGTGAGGTAACCCAGACTCAGAAAGACAAACATGGTATGTACTCACTCATAGCAGGATACTAGACATGAAACAAGGATGAATTGTCTGCTACTCACATCACCAGGGAGGCTACCCGGAAAACAGGACCCCAAGAAAGACACAGGGATCGCCCAATGACAGAGAAATGGAATGAGATCTACATGAACAGCCTGGACATGAGTGGGGGTAATGAAAGGCGAGGGTCAAGGGAAAGAGAGCTTGGGGGAGCGGGAGATCCCAGCTGGATCAACAACAGAGAGGGAGAACAAGGAATAGGAGACCATGGTAAATGAAGACCACATGAGAACAGGAAGAAGCAAAGTGCTAGAGAGGCCCACAGAAATCCACAAAGATACCCACACAACAGACTGCCGGCAATGGTCGAGAGACAGCCCGAACTGACCTACTCTGGTGATGGGATGGCCAAACACCCTAATTGTTGTGCTAGAAACCTCATCCAACTACTGAGGGATCTGGATGCAGAGATCCATGACTAGGCCCTGGGTGGATCTCTGGGAGTCCAATCAATGAGAATGAGGAGGGTTTAGATGAGCGAGAATTGTTGAGACCAAGGTTGGATAAAGCACAGGGACAAATAGCCAAATGAATGGAAACACATGAACTATGAACCAATGGCTGAGGGGTCCCCACTGGATCAGGCCCTCCGAATGGGTGAGACAGTTGATTGGCTTGATCTGTTTGGGAGGCATCCAGGCAGTGGGACCAGATCTTGTGCTCATTGCATGAGTTGGCTGTTTGAAACCTGGGGCCTATGCAGGATTGTTTGGCTTGGCCGGGGAGGAGGGTACTAGACCTACCTGGACTGAGTCTACCAGGTTGACCTCAGTCTGTGGGGAAGGCTTTGCCCTGGAGGAGATGGGAATGGGGGGGGGGGCGTTGGGGGGAAGGTGAGGGGGACGGGAGGGGGGAGAACAAGGGAATCCGTGACTGATATGTAGAACTGAATTGTATTGCAAAATAAATTAAAAAAAAAAAAAATTTAAAAAAAGTCTTCCAACCAAAAAAGCTCAGGGGCAGATGGTTTTAGGGCAGAATCCTACTAGACTTTCAAAGAGGAGTTCATGCCAATACTCCTCAAATTATTCCACAAAATAGAAACAGAAGGAATATTGCCCAATTTGTTTTCCAAGGCCACAGTTATTCTAATAGATATCCAAACCATATAAAGACCCAACAAAGAAAAAGAATTGCAGACATTTTCCTTATGAACATACATGCAAAATTTCTCAATAAAATACTTGCAAACAGGCTGGAAGAGATGCTTGAGTGGTTAAGAGCACTGGCTGCTCTTCCATAGGACCTGGGTTCAATTCCCAGCACCCACATGACAGCTCACAACTGTCTGTAACTCCAGTTCCCAGGGGATTTGGAACTCTCACACAGATATACATGCAGGCAAAAATAAAATAAATATAATCTTTAAAAAAATAGCTAGAGCAATAAGAACTTAAGGAGTTCAAGGATAGAAATAAGAACGGAAAAATTTAAAGTATCCTAATTTGCAGATGATCTGATTGTATACCAGGAAACTTCTACAGCTGATAAGCATTTTCAACTAGGTAACAGGACATAAAATTAATATACAAAAGTCAGTAGCCTTCCTTTATGCAAATAACAGACATAATGAACAAGAAACAAAGAAACAGGGCCTTTCACAACAGCTTCAAAAACATATTGGAATAACTAAGCAAGCAGGTGATAGATTTGTATAATACAAAACTTTCAGACACTGAAGAAAATTGAAAAAGACACTAGAAGATGGAAAGCTCTTTCATTCTCACAGACCAGTAAACTAATATTGTAAAAATGGCCATCCTAACAAAAGCCATCTACAGAAAAATCCTATCACAATTATTCACATAAGCTGAAAAAAATCTTAAACTTCATATGGAAATGCAAAAACTCAGGATAACTAACACAATATTGAATAATAAAAGAACTGCTGTAAGTATCAACACTCCAAATTTTAAGTTGTACTATAGATCTGTAATAATTAAGAACAGCATGCCATTGGCATAAAAACAGACAGATTTGCCAATGGTATAGAACTAAAGATCTTGGTATAACCCCCAAACCTGTGGACACCTGATTTTTGACAAGCCAGAAATATACACTGGAGAAGAGACATCATCTTCAACAAATGATGCTAGTTAAAGTGGGTAGATGCATGTAGAAGAATGAAAATGGATCCATATCTAATACCCTGCATAAAACTCTACTCCAAATGGATCAGAGACCTCAGAACAAGATATCCTAAATCTGATAGAAGACAAAATACAGAATACATATTAATTCATCAACACAGGAAAGGACTTTCTGATCAGGACCCTTATAGTGCAGGCATTAAGAACAACAATTAATAAATGGAAGCTTGTGAAGCTAAAAGGCTTCTGTACAGCAAATGACACCATTGTTCAAGCACAGAGGAAGCCTACAGATGGCAAGAGAATGGTTACCAGTCACTATCTAATAGATACAAAGAAAAAAATCCTGATTATGAAAACAACTCAATTTTAAAAATGGAGTATAGAACTGAAAAGAGTTCTCTAAAGATGAAATACAAATGACTTGGAAATACTTTAGAAATGTTCAAAATTCTTAGACATAGGAAAATGCAAATTAAAACTACTTTAAGATTTCACCTTATCATGGTCAAAAAGACCAAGGTGAATAAGTCAAATGACAGCATATGCTGGCAATATTGAGGGGGAAGGGGAACACATATCCATTGCTGGTGAGAGTGAAAATGGCTACAGCCACTATGGAAATCAGTGTGGAGGATTCTCAAAAATCTGAAAATTGATCTACCACAAGATCCAACTGTACTACTCTTGGGCATATACCCAAAGGACTCTATATCTTACTGCAGAGATATTTGCTCATCTATGTTTATTGCTGCTCTATTCATAATAGTCAGAAATTGGAAATGACCTAGATGTCCATCAGCTAAAAAATGTGGTACATTTACACAATGGAATTATTCAACTGTTAAAATAAAATTGTGAAATTTGTATGTAAATGGGTGTAACTAGAAACATCATCCCAAGGGACGTAACTCAAGACCCAGAAAGACAAACATTGCATATTTGCTCTTCTATGTGGATGTCAGCATTTAAGATATGTATGTTTTATCTAGAATACCCACAGAGGCTAGGTAGCTAGAAAGAGGAGAGGAGAGGATCTTCCAAGTAAGTGGAAATAGAATGTAGAATTGCCAAGTGATAAAGGGGAAACTAGACTAGAATTAAATGGGGAAAGGCATGGGAGGACAGGATAAAGGAGGGATTAAGGGAAGGGAAACTAATAGTAGAGGTCTTTAGAAAACCTCTATGGAAATCATCTATCATAAAAACCTAAAATGTATACATATTAAAGAAATTTAAATAGAGTTACCATATGATGGGGAGACAGTGCTCCAGCTAGACATTTTATGCTACAAATAAAATACCACTACCAGAAATGGGTTATATCTTGTTGAGTCATTGGCCAAAGGGGTTCCACAGCCCTTTCCCCAAAGCACCTCAGGCTTTTGCTAATGCTGTTTGTTACTGTCCAAAACTGGATAGAAAATCCTGTTGTTGAAGACACCACTTATGTCACTGAACATAAGTGGAGGAATCAAGCTGGTGCCCAACTAGAAGCTTCACCAAGCTACAAATCCTGCAAAGTATAACAGCAACCTGACTGCAAGGTATACTCACTAATGCAATAGTGGCGCAAACGTCACAGGAGTAACTAACCACATTTTGACTGGATTTAAGGCCCATTTCATGAGATGGAACCCATACCTGACACTGTTAAAGTGACCAAAAACATGGGACTATGTAGGCCATGGGCCCTAAGGGGAAGCCTAGTACCATTATTCTGATAAATGAACATAATAGTAAAATACTTCCAAATGACATATTTCTATACCAATAGATCAGTGCCTCACTCAGCCTTCATCAAACGGCTTCTTGCAATAGATGGTAAATAACCCAAAGCCACAATTGGACAGCACAGAGAATGAGATACTTTTTAACACTCAGCCCTAAATGAGATGTCTTCACCAAAGCCTTCACCTCAAGATTCAGGGATCTGTTCAGAAGAGGAGGTTTTGGAAAGATTATAAGAACCAGCCGTGATGGATGACTCCAAGGAAACAGTGTCTTCCAGATACAAGAGAGTTGATTTACATATGAACTCACACAGACTATGGCAGCATGCATAAGACCTTCCCAAGTTTAAGCCAGACAAAATCCCTGCACATAAAATGAGCACAAAAATCTCACTCCTAACCAAGAAGCTATTTGCAAATGATAGTTGCTGGGAGAAGGAAAATCAGTTTTGTACAATGAAGTCACATTGAATGTATCAATTACATTTCAGGACAGACTCCATGCTCAGGAGTAATTGGGCAATACAAGACTGACTCCATGTTTTTGTTTGTTTGATTGCTTGGCTTGGTATTTGTGTGTGTTGGGGCGGGGGGGGGGGGGGTTCCTTTTTTTGTCTTTTTAAAATATACTCTTCTTAAGAAAGAGCATGAAATTGGGTGTGTGGGCAGGTGGGAAGGATCTGGGAAAATTTAAGGAAGAGAAAAATATGTTCAAAATACATTGTAAGAAAAAATTTTAAGCAAATAAAAAAAGAATACATTTTTCTTTTGTTTGCAATGCTGGAAATTGAACTCAAAGCCTTATTCATGCTAAGAAAGAACTTTTTCTTCCTTTCTTTTTTCTTTTGAAAGTACTTTTTCCACTGAGCTCCATCCCCAGTCCTAAGAATTTTTAAAAGGGAGAAAAAGATAGAAAAGAATAGTTAAAAATACTAAGTGGAGAAAGTTGAAGTGCTTGCATTTTTATTCCATTTACTGAAAAGTATAACTAGACCCAACACCAGCTCTTTGTTTCTTCTTTCTTTACAGATTTGAAACTTTGTTTACTGAGTTGGAAATAAAACAGAAAACACTGGGCATTGCCAATTTTGGAGCTTCAATCACTACAATGGAAGAGGTTTTCCTTAAGTGAGTTATAATAACCTGGAAAAAAACTTTCCACCCATAAACTCTTATGTTAACAAACCTCAGCCAGGTAAGAGTGGCACACACCTTTAATCCCACCATTTGGGAGGCAGAGCTAGGCAGATCTCTGTGAGTTCAAGGCCAGCCTGGTCTACAGAGTGAGATCCAAGACAGGCACCAAAAACTACACAGAGAAACCTTGTCTTGAAGAAAAAAAAAGAAAGAACAAACCTTACTCTTTTGCAGCTGAAATAAAGTGGTGTCACTAAGTTTTCAAATATGCTATTTTATTGTAATATATTTCCATGTATATTCAGCTGAGATTTAAAGATGTTGAACTTGGGCCTTGATGCATGTCTTTTTTTAACTTTTTTTTTCAGAATTTCATGAGTAAGTACTTTATTTATATTATTTCCAGCTCATATTCTCTCTCCTCCAACTCCTCCCATGTCCCCTCTCAAATTCACAAACCTCTTCTTCAATTAATTGTTACATATATACCTGTGTACATGTGTATATATAAATACATCCTACTGAGTCCATTTAGTGTTTCTCATACTTATATGTGTTAGAGATGACCACTCAGGATTAGATAACCTATCAGGGGACTCGTCCCTGGAGAAGACTGATTCTTCTCTTATCAGCCATTGATTGAATATAGCTTTTTAAGAGTGGGGCTTTGTGAGATTTCCCCCATCCACAAAAACATGTCAGCTGGTGTAGTCGTTATGCAGGACTTATTGAGACAGCCATATATGTTAAGGTTTCATGGATACAGCTGTCATGTATAGAATACACTCTCAAGCAGCTATCCTGGTCCTCTCTCACAGTTTTTCCACCCCATCTTCTGTGCCTTCCCCTGAGCCTCAGGTATAGCAGTTGTGTTGTAGATGTATCACCTGGGGCTGAGCATCCCACAGTCAGTTTGTTCTCTGCATTTTAACCAGTACATGTCTGTATCTGCTTGGTCTTTATCTGCTTGGGAAAAACTTCATGATGAGGGGCGAGAGCTGCACTTATCTGTGCTTATAAGGAGAGCTATATAGAATGTAGTTGGGAATTATACTTGTTTGGAAAAGTGGCTGTAATGAGTTCTCCTCAAGGAGTTGTCTAGGTTTTCCAGCACTAGGCATGAATTCCCTCCTACTGAACAGGATTTAAGTCCAATTAGACAGTTGTCGGCTGCCCCCCACGATATAAGTGCCACTGTTGTACCCCTCGGAATTTTGCGATGCTGATCGTTGTGGTTTGTAGACTTTTACAGCTGGATAGGACTGTTGATTCCTTTTCTCCCTTGGCAGCTTGTATAGCTCTTTCTATTACTGTGAGAGCTAGTCCTTGAGAGGAGTCTTCCAGGTCAGTTCCAGCTCAATTTTCCAAATCCTGTGTCCAAAGTGGGTGGTGTCTTTACCTATAGGGTCTTATTTTCAAGTTCTGGGAGGCAACCAAGGGCAATGTCAATAGTCTATATTGTTTTACAGGCTGGTTTCAGATTCTTGAAGAAAAGCAATTTGAGGCTATGATTAAGAGGAAATACTTTGTGCTCTTTTTGTGTACCTATATATATATGTGTGTAGGGTCAATAATCTGGCAGCTCCCCAAAGGAATATTCAGACTCTCAACTCCTATTACCTGGCATACAAAAAGATGAGAGAAGATAAGCAGCAGAATGTGAATATACCTGAAAAAATGAAACAAGATAAGCAGCAGAATGTGAATATACCCAGAAATTATAAAGGACCAGATTTTTCCTATTTGAGTGAAATTTCTACCACTAAATTTAACACTGGGGTAAGCATATTTTCTTTTAATTTTTATACTTTTTATTTAAAATATAATTATATTATTTTCCCCCTTTCTTTCCTCTTTCTAGCCCCAAGTTCCTTTCACCAATTCCTCCCATGTCCCCCGAATGTCAAATTGATAGCATTTTTTTTCTTTGGAATATCACATTTTTTAATGTCTAAACATAAAAGATGCATCTAGTTTATAGAACTAGAAATGGACTAGTCTGTGGAACTTGATACAGGAGAAATGGTCTCTAGATAAAGATCTTAGCTGCTGCTCTCACCATTATTATTTCTCAGAATCCCTTTTCTAAAGCTCTCATTAGAAACTCTCCCTTTGACTGACCTAGGCCCTCTGCCTGTGGGTGACAATTGTGTAGCTTGATCTGTTTGCGAGGCCCCTTGCAGTAGGACCAGGACCTGTTCCTGGCACATGAGCTGGCTTTTTGGAACCTATTCCCTATGGTGGGATGCCCCACTCAGCCTTGATGCAGAGGGTAGGAGCTTGGTCCTGCCTCAACTTGATTTGCCAGGCTTTATTGACTACTTTGGGAGACCTTACTTTCTGAATAGAGACAGAGACGGAGTAGATAGGGGGTGGGCGTAGAAAGGAGGTGGGGGAAGGGAACAGAAGGAGAAGAGGGAGAAGAAACTGTGGTTGGTATGTAAAATAAATTTAAAATTTTAATTTAAAAAGGGAAAAAAAGAAAATTTCCCTTTGTTCTAATAAAGCCAAAGATAACTATCATATCCAGGAGATATTTGTTGATCAAAGTAAGAGCATTTTTTGTCTGGATTACAGTATGTGTTCCTGGCAAAATAAAATCATTTTAGGAAGAGTGTTTAAAATGAGAGAAAAAAGATCATATATTAGATAAAGACCCAAAATTTTTTCAACTTTTGTGGTGTTTGTTTTGTTTTAAGACTGAGTCTCACTATGTAGCTTTGGATAGCCTGGAGCTCACTGTGTAAACCAGGCTGGCCTCAAGCTAAGAAAGGCCTACCTGCTTCTGTCTCACAAGTGCTAGGATTAAAGGCATGCACCACCATACCTGGCCCAGTTTTCTTTTTTAATAAAAAAACTTTTAACATGTTAATAAAGAAAATCTTGGGATTAGGAGTATAACTCAGTGATTGAGTACTTCCCTAGCATGTTTAAGAATCTGATCCTAGAACTGCCCTTCCCGCCCCCCACAAAAGAAAATGATCTTAAGAGTTTTACTATAGTTAGAAGCCAGGTCTTGATACTCTAAATTAATAGTGCACAAATAAACTATTTGCTTTGTTTTTACTGGAGTCAACTAGAATTCATTTGTATTATATCTTATGCACATAGTTTTGCGTCATAGATTTTAAAGCATGATGAATAGATTTCATCATGAGTATCCTACTCGAATCTCTAATCATCAAAATACTATTGTCCTTTCTCTTTATAGTTTCCACTTTACCGCCAGCAATTTTGTTCCATGTTTATAAAAAGAGCATTATTCATTTGGCGCAACTGGAAGTTGATGTTGCTACAGATAACAGTAATTTTGCTTGCCACTACATATCTCTTATTAGCTCTGCACTCAGATGATCATGATATACCTGAAAGAGAATTGGATTTGAGTCACTATGGTGAAACCATTGTGCCTTACTCAGTTTCAGGGAACTCTGATTTGGCTCTGAATCTCACAGAGAACCTTAAGAATTTTCTAAAGTCAAAGAATCAAAACTTACGAAAAATAAGAGGTAAGACTCATTTACAAAAAGAAGAGATTACTCTATAAAGACCTACTTGTCATTTGCAATGTATATAACTGTGGTATTTAACTACCCACTTCTTTCTCATCCTACTAGTCACCAGTATCATAGAAGCAGCTAAATCAGAGGCAAAATACACACTTCAAGACTACTGTCCACACAAGTTGGTAATTGGTGGAGCCTTTTTTGGCTGTTTGTGGCTCTGCTAATTGCATCGCCCTTCATGGGGATGGGAAAGATGAAAGTATGGTGCTGCTGTGCAATTTAGCATTAGACATTTTATTCTCATTGAAAGACTACTGCTTTCTTCCAGACCACCACAAAAAGGCTGCCCTTTTTTTATATCAGTCATCCTCTAAATCAGTGGCTAAAGAATGGATTGACAACTAATTTTTGAAGATGATCTAGATAGTTATTTTGATTTTTTTTCAACATGTACCCTTGGTAAGAACCATAACTAGATGTGTTCTCTGTGTTGTCTTTATTATGCTAAAAACAAGCTTAGCTAGCTTGTTCAATATCTTTGCTATGTCACAAGTACAAGACCTAGTAATGACGAATTTGAACTTTGAGTAAACAATTTTTTAAAGTCAAGCATTTTAGAACACTGGGCATTAACCAAAAACAGAACAAACTAGAGTGTGACTATTCAAAGAAAATTGTGTGACCTCTGTAAGAATAAGATCTGTAGCACTATAGCTTAGGGTTACCCCCTTTACTCACTCCCACTGGCTCAATAGAACTCAATAAAAGCCATTAATGGCCTTGAAGCTATCAAAAAAGGATAGCAGACCCAAGGCTGACCAGTAGGAGGCAGGCATAATAATAAATGCAAGAATTATTTATTAAGTCAAACAGAAATCAGTGGCTGTACACTATATAGAATATAGGAGTATACACATCACCAGGGAGGCTACCTGGAAAACAGGACCCCAAGAAAGACACGGGGATCGCCCAATGACAGAGAAATGGAATGAGATCTACATGAACAGCCTGGACATGAATGGGGGTAGTGAAGGGCGAGGGTCGAGGGAAAGAGAGCTTGGGGGAGCGGGAGATCCCAGCTGGATCAACAACAGAGAGGGAGAACAAGGAATAGGAGACCATGGTAAATGAAGACCACATGAGAATAGGAAGAAGCAAAGTGCTAGAGAGGCCCACAGAAATCCACAAAGATACCCCCACAACAGACTGCTGGCAATGGTCGAGATACAGCCCGAACTGACCTACTCTGGTGATGGGATGGCCAAACACCCTAATTGTCGTGCTAGAAACCCCATCCAACTACTGAGGGATCTGGATGCAGAGAGCAATGGCTAGGCCCCAGGTGGATCTCTGGGAGTCCAATTAGCGAGAATGAGGAGGGTTTATATGAGCGAGAATTGTTGAGACCAAGGTTGGATAAAGCACAGGGACAAATAGCCAAACGAATGGAAACACATGAACTATGAACCAATGGCTGAGGGGTCCCCAGCTGGATCAGGCCCTCTGAATGGGTGAGACAGTTGATTGGCTTGATCTGTTTGGGAGGCATCCAGGCAGTGGGACCGGGTCCTGTGCTCATTGCATGAGTTGGCTGTTTGAAACCTGGGGCCTATGCAGGATTGCTTGGCTCGGCCTGGGAGGAGGGGACTAGACCTACCTGGACTGAGTCTACCAGGTTGATCTCAGTCCGCAGGGAAGGCTTTGCCCAGGAGGAGGTGGGAATGGGGGACGGGCTGGGGGGAAGATGAGGGAGGCAGGAGGGGGGAGAACAAGGGAATCCGTGGCTGATATGTAGAACTGAATTGTATTGCAAAATAAAAATAAAAAAATTTTTAAAAAAAAGAATATAGGAGTATAGTATTTACAGAATTGATTCACATAGATTACTAAACAAATGAGGAGAAACAGGTTTTTTTTAAAGAATAGCAATAGAATAGTTAGTGTATACTAATTGTTATTATGTGCATCATAAATGTCCACTTTTCAACATAAAAAAGAAAGAACTTATAGACTGAATTTGTGCCCCTCATAATGTTAAAATCCCAACTACAAGTACTTTGTTGACTATATTTGTAGGTAAGGTTTTTGAAATGGTAATTAAATTTAAAATAAGGTCATTAACATAGGACCCAATCCAGTGACTGTTGTTCTTGTAAGAAGAGGAAAGTGGGAACTGGAGAGATGCCTGGGCTGTTAAGAGCTCTTGCTGCTCTTCCAAAGGACCCAGATTCTTTCCTAACATCCATGTCAGGCTACTCAACTGTTTTTAACTCCAGCTCCCGCAAATCAGATGCCCTCTTCTGGTCACTTTGGCACCCACACACCCCTGGCATATACATACATAGTCACACATAAATAATTTTAAATTAAAGAATGTGGATGTAAACATGCATGCAGAAAAGAAAGACTCTGTGAAGACACAGACAAAACTGCTACCCAAAATGCAAGACAAAAGTGTCAAAGAAATCAAATCTGCCATCACTGACCTCAGACTTCTAGCCTTCACACTGAAAACTGAACTTCTGGTGCTTTAATCATCTGTGGGAATTCTAATAGACAACATAGAAAATAAAGATATATCTTGGTACCAGGAAGTGGGTGTTATTATGGCATAGACCCAAAAGTATGGAATTGGCTCTGGAACAAGGTAACAAGAAGCTTATGGAGTTTGAAGATATATGTTAGAAAAAAATCCTAGTTTTGAAAGGCTTTTAGGAGTTACTAAAGATAATTCTGATGAGCATGAATACAGGAAAAAAAGAAAATTTTAAAGAAAAATACTACCTCAGAAATATATTATGAAAACAATATTGGCTGAAATATGAGCATTAAGGATGCTCTGGTTATATATCAAGTGGTAATGAGGGGCATGTTATTGAAAACTAAAGGAAGAGTGGTCCTTGTTATAAAGAGCCAAATAGGGGATGGAGAAATGTCTCTGGTGTTTAATAGCACTGCTGCTCTTGCAGAGCACCGCATGGTGGCTCATAACCACCTGTAACTCCAGTTCAGAGGATCCAATGCCTTCTTCAAGGCTCTGATGTCACCACACAAGAGGAGCACAGACATTCATGCATGAAAAAAAGACATATGCATAATACTTAAAAATAAATTCTTAAAAAAAAATAAAAACACAGAAGCAAATAATTTGATTGAATTGTATTCTGCTGCTTTGTGGCAAGTATAACATGTAAATGATGAAAATATTTAGCCAAGGAGATTTCTAAACAGTGTGTTAAAATTATGTTCTGGTTTGTCCTTGCCATCTATAGTAAAATATAAAAGGAACTAGATAAATTGAAAATGAAATATGAAACAAAAGGAAGTAGAGGTATAAAGAGAAAATTCTCACCATATCTATGTTGGAAAAAAATAAAAATTGAGAAGATGTTCTACAGAAGTCATCAGTATGTTTGGACAATTTATTTAAAATATATGGTTATGTGATTTATATAGCAACCTCTTGTCTGAAAATATGACATCAAGGAAGGTTGATGGCTGATAGTATTCCATACAATGAGTTAGTAAAACATTCAAGCTTCAAATATTTATTTACATCAAACAAAGAGAGTAATGACAAAGAGCGGCTCATGCATATATATATATGTATATGTATACATATATATGCACATATATGCCTAAATATAATCTACTCAGTCCATATAATGCTACTTGTATGTATGTTTTCAGGGCTGACCATTTGGCACTGGACAACGGTGTGCTCTTCCCAGGGGAGAACCACCTCTCCCATTCAGAGCTTTACTCAGTTGCCTGTAATTCTTTGTGTGGTGTTGAGGGTTTGTGGGCATTTCCTCATCCACTTTGGTATATTCATTGGTGTCCCTTGTTCAGTTTATGTTTGGGCAATTCCTGTCAAAATTCCGCTGGGTGCTTTACAGAAAATTACAGGCTAATTCTATAATTTATACAGAAACACAAATGAAATGGGATAGCCAAAGCAATTCCTTAAAAGTAACAAATCATGCGTGCTCTAGACAGTTAAGGAAAAATATATATATATAGGTTTTTCAAGACAAGGTTTCTCTGTATAGTTTTGGTGCCTGTCCTAGATCTCGCTGTGTAGACTAGGCTGGCCTTGAACTCACAGAGATCCTCCTGGCTCTGCCTCCGGAATGCTGGGATTAAAGGCATGTGCCACCAACGCCTGGCAAGAAATAAGTTCTTAAACCAAATATAGTGGTGCACACCTTTGATTCCAGCACCTGGGAAGGAGAGGCAGGTAGATAGATGTCTATGAGTTTGAGACCAGCCTAGTCTGCATGGAGAGTTCCAAGACAGCCAGGGCTACATAGAACCTGTCTCAAAAATAATATATTCTTAATATATGGTTTGGGTTATGAATTATACAGTGAGATTATTATAAGGATCAATGATGGTATAAAATTCTTAAAGAAAAATATCTATTGTCAGGATTTGGAAAACAAAATGGTAAGTGGAAAAATTAAAACACACAACTTTTTTTATCCTTCTTTTCCAATACAGGAAAGGTTAACTGTGAGCTACATGTTGGCTCACTGACATTTTCTTTTTTATTCTAGGTGATATAAATGATTACATATTGAAAAATAAAGAGTGTCGTAGCTTCTGCATTATTGCACTTTCTATTGAGGTTGAGAAAAACAAAACAGTACTCACTGTTTTCTTCAATAATGAGGCATATCATTCACCTGCAATATCCCTGGCGATATTAGACAACATTCTTTTTATGACACTTTCTGGACCTAATGCTTCCATTACCGTCTTTAATAAGCCTCAGCCTCAGCCTCACTCTTATTATGATTCTAACACAATGTATGTATGATTTTCCTTTTTCTGAAATTGAGTCTTAATATACTTTTGCTGTTTGGCCATATTCATTTGAAAAACAGCTCATGTCAATATTTCCTACCTATATTTCATAGTTTATTTCATGTTTTATTCCATCTTTTGTAGGACTGTAAGTGGATTACAAATAGTACAGTGTTTGGCTTTTGGCATTTCTGTAGTGGTTGGGACCTTTAGTCTGCAGACAGTAACTGAAAGGATCAGTCAAGCCAAGCACATCCAGTTCCTGAGTGGTGTGTGTGTGCTCACTTACTGGCTGCCTGCCTTTTTGTGTGATCTCCTCTTCTTCTTCATTGCCTCCTGTATACTACTGGTGAGTATTAGCTGCAGTTGTATCAAAAGTCATTTACCTTCTGGGGGCCATACTAATTTCTACTCAAATGATTTCATCTTGAAAGTAGTCAAGTAATTTGAAACTATATTGACTTATCATTTCTAGAAATTTTCTGGTAGAATTTTGGGGATCTCTTGTGTATAACATGTCATCTGTAAATAGGGGTAATTTGGTTTCTTCTTTTCCTATTTGTATCCCTTTTATTGAAAGCTGTCCTATGAGCAAAATTTAAGATTCTATCTTCTACATCTTTAAAAAGTCAGAGAAAGCATCAATAGAGGCATACTGATGCAACTTTGAAAAAGTATGAACAAAGCAGATCCAATTCTATTCAGTGGCAAGAAATATTAAAAATCAGAGCATAAATTGATGAAATAGAAACAAAGCAATATGAAGAATCAACTATCCAAAAGAAAGAAAAAGAGAGAAGATCCACATTAACAGAGTCAGAAATGAGCAAGGAAACATAGCAGACACCAAAGAAATTCAGAATATTATAAAGGAATATTTTAAAAATCTGTGCTCCATTAAGCTGGGAAACCTAAAATAAATGGATAAATTTCTAGATTCAGCCAAAACACCAAGACCAACAACCTAAACTTACCCATAACAAATGAGGAGGCCAAAATAATAATAATAAAGCTTCCCAACTTCGAAAAGCTGAGGCCCAGATGGAGTCACAGCAGAATTCTACCAGACTGTCAAAGAAGATCTACAGCCAATTCTTCTGAAAGAAAGAGAGAGAGAGAGAAGCACTCCCAAACTCCATCTATGAAGCCAGTGTCACTCTAATGATAAAGGCATGTAAAGACACAACAGAAAAGAAAACTACAAGTGAATATCTCTGGTAAACATAGAGACAAAAATGTCCAGCAAAATATTTGCAACCTGAATACGGACATACATTAAAAAAAAAAAAGATTGTATACCATGACCAAGTTGACTTTATCCCTGAAATGCAGAGATGGTTCAACATAGCAAGTCAGTAAGTATAATAAACCATGTTAATGGACTTAAAGATGAAAATCACATGTTCATCTCAATAGATGCTGAAAAAGCCTTTGACAAAATCCAACATGCCTTCATGATAAAAGTCATAGGAGGAAGAAGGACCAGAGGGCACAGACCTCAGCATAAATAAAGCTAGCCATGAGACACCCATAGCTAAGCTCATCTTAAAGAAGAAAAGTACAAAACAATCCTACTGAAGTGAGTGAGAGGGAAATCCACTATCTCTACTCCTTTTCAATAGTGCATTCAACGCACTAACTGGAGCAATAAGGCAAGAGAAGGAAAGTAAAGATATATAAATAGGAAAAGAAGTTAAATTTGTTCTAAGATTGTCTTTCATTTTAGTTACGAATGTTTGTCTGCATGTATATATGTGTACTATGTATGTTTCTGATGCCCTTGGAGTTCCAGTGGATAGTTAGGAGCCACCATGTGTGTCTAGTAACTGAACCCAGGTCCTTTGCAAGAGCGGCTTAGTGCCCTTAACCACTGAGCCATCTCTCCAACCTCTGCAACTTCCTCTTTCTAAAAATCTTACTCTACCTTTCATATCAGCTTACCTCCTCATTAGACATGTATTGAAGAGTGTCAACAGAAGCTTATCTTTTGATGAGCTTAAATTTAAGTGAATGTTAGAATTACTGGCCTTACCAAGGATTTGCATAGCCAAGTCAATATTGATTTGGAGATAAGCCTCAAAATATGCTGTTCTTGTTAGATATTTCTATTCATAAAATCTTCAGGGAGGAATATTTTCTTCAAACTTTAATGCCTGAAACACAGTTTATTTTACCAATATTGTTATTATCTATTTCCCCCCTCATTTAAAAATTGTTTCTTGGTAAAAAATGATGTAATTATTCTGGACTTTTTTTCCTAAATAGCTACTTCATTGCTATGACATTCTTTTAAAGTAATCAGTCTTCCCCTCACTGGTTTGAAATACTGATTTTATACTATAATAACTATCAATGTGCATTTAAGTATATTTTGTATTGTGTAATTCTGTCCATTGGTATATATTTAATGGGCCACTTTGTGATGGTACTAAGGACTGAACCCAGAGTCTTGTGCATAAAAGCAGTAAGTCTGCAACTGAGCTATGTTCCCAACTCTGTAATGTGCTACTCTTAACAGTTGCTTTTAATTGTGGCAGTTTTAAAGTACATTTCATGATTTTTGTGCATTGGCATTCCCCCACTTCCTGTATTATTCATCTTTTGCAAAATGCCCTCTTTACCATGACATAATTTGGTTTTCATATAAACTTCCAAAGCAGCTTATTTCAAGAAAATTCTAATTTCATTGAATTTATGTTATTTTTAATTTCGTGTTTTTGATATGTTGACTCATATCCTATGTATCAACATAGCATATCGCTTCACTTATCCGGGTAAATTTAAATGAACTTTGAACCCAGTTCTGAGTGGAACTTTTCTCCCACTTGTAAGTCTTAGAACAAAGGTGCCTCTAAGTTCCCTAGTTTCTTCCTGTCTTTACAAACCCTCTTTGTTTGCTAGGGGAGGAGCCAACCATGGTTAGGGCCATTAGAGTTTTTTCACCTATGATCACTGAGTCTCTTCATTTGCTTCCTTCAGACACTAGTGCTTGAATAGAAAATATTTCCAAGAACTACACAGGATTCTAATGGAACATTTTTAGTTTAGCCTTTCCTTCCAGGAACTAGTGATCTTGCTAAATAATCATGTCATTGATCAGAAGGTACAACTTGTTATTTTTAAAGAAATTGAAATTACAAGCTAATATGCAGATTTTTAGAAATTTCTTTAGTGGCACTAGTAATTATTTTCCAAATCTAGATCACTCTAAATTTGTGTGCTCTTCAGTTCACTTTTCAATTGTGATTAAGAGTAATTGAAAAAGAGTGCTAAAGTTCAGATCAACCACCAGAAGGCACTCTGAACAATGCAGCCATAGGGAAATCCTAAGAAAAGCAGCTTATATCCTAGGTCTTTTTCCCCCAAGAAAAATCCAGATTGACTTAATACAAATATAGTTACTATGCCTTTGACCATGGCTGTGGGAAGTAAGGACCATTTCAAAGAGGAGAAAAACTGAAAGAGGTGTTCAATTACTGTGCTCATTGTAATAGTCTCACTTGGGAAATAGTCCACCTAAGGCTTACATTCTAAAGCTTAAAAAATGACCAGAATTAGTAGCGAATGATTATGGTCTAGTAGAAATAGTAGCTGTGCATAGTATCCTTCACCTTGCTTTGACCTCTATACTCTATGTCCCAGGGCGTATTCATATTCTGCCAAGTGGATGCATTTTTTGTGAGTTACAACTTTCTGGACACGATGCTGATTTTTATGCTGTATGGCTGGTGTGCTGTTCCCCTCATGTATCTTGGAAGCTTTCTGTTCAGAAGTAGCACTACTGCCTACATCAAGCTCACGCTCTTTAACTACTTTTCAACTATTTTCAGTATCATCATTTACACTGTAGTGAAATTTTATGGTAAGAACACTGTACAGTTTTCCCTTTTTCCAGAAAATACATTAAATAAATGGGGATGAAATAACATAAGAATTAAAAATTAACTGATAAACACTTTCCAGTAATATGAAAACCTATGATTTTGGAAAACAGCAAATATTTATTGAGTGGGTATGTGGGAGTTAGAGATGGAGGAAAAGGGGGAGGAGGAAGAAAGAGAGAAGAGAACCAAGAATAAAAAGGAAGGAAAACAGATACTAGGAAGTCACTGTTACCAAAATTTACTCTTCAATTGTGTGATTGTTATTTCTCTACAAGCTATCTAGGTGGGTACATTTAGCAATTGATGGTACTTTCTTAAGGATTGTCTGATAGTTTGATAATTGTCTAAGAATGGCTTAATCATTTGGGGGAAGTCTGTTTTTATGAGGCAGTTCACTACTTTTCCAATAACTGAAGCTAATCTATTATCTTTTAATTACAGGTAGTGACTTTCCTAAGTTCATCAACAGCTTCATAAATACAGCTTTAATGATACTGCCTAGTTACAACTTTGCAATGAGTATCAGCAAGTATTTTGATGACTATGAGATGAAAACACTGTGTGCTAAGGAATTCAGAAGCATTTACATGGATTGCAGTGAGTCATGTGAGTACTGGGAACTCTTCAGGCCCATACAAACACTATATTCCTTTCTCCTTTCTGCACTTCTATTAAGGTTATGTAAAGTAAGAAAAGCCTGGTTTTCTTCCAGTTGTGTAGAATGAGCTGAGTTGCAAATTGGAGGCACATATAACCTGCTCAATGAAGTGTTTGCAGAAAGTTTCTCAAATTTTGGGAAACATGGACATCCAAGAAAAAGAGGCATTTAGAACCCCAATTAGGCATGACCTGAGAATCCCTCTCCACGTCACATTGTAAACTTTTAAGACTACAGGATAAAGAATATTGAAAACTGCAAAAGAGGAGTTCCAAATTACTTACAATGACTAATCCATCAGAATTATATCAGACATCTCAATAGAAACCCTGGCAGCCATAAAAGCATGAATGATATAGTTGAAGCTCTGAGAGGGGATAACTGATGACAAAATTTACTGTACCTTTCCAAGTTAACTTCTACAATCAATAGAAATTGAAGACCATCTAAGATAAAGCATCTCATGGCCCAGTAAAGCAGCACCATAGAAAATGCTTAAAGAACTCTATATGTGGGTAAATAAGAAAGGCAGCCATAATCATGCAAACTCAGCAAAGAATTCATTTTATGAAAGGAATCATAAATAAATGAGAACTAAGAAAAAAGTAAAAATTCTCAACCCAATAAGCCATTAAACTATACGACAAATAAGGGGGAAAGAAAAGAATAAACAATATTAAAACCAACCAGAAGAGCAACAAAATTATGTGAATCAGCAAATACTTCCCAGATTAACATTTATTACCATAAATGTTAGTAGTCTAATGTCTCCAATTAACAGATTCAGTTTAGCTGATTGGATCTGAAAGCAAGATCCAAATGTGTGTTATCACCAGTAGACACTGGCAAAGACACACGCAGACTAAAAGTGAAGGGATAGGGGAAAAACAAACTATGAAAGTACAAGTCAGTGGCATGCTCATGGGTGATATGGACTGTGTTCCCAAAGAATTGTGGTTGTATGTTTATGTCAGTATGATAAATACCTGAGAGAGAAACTCAGGGATTGCCAGTGGTAAACCTCTTGGGTCTCTCTCAGTGCTGTGGCTGACTTCTGAACAGTTCCAAAAGCATTTAAATTCATAGAGAATCTATAGCCACCTAGAGTAAGAGTATATATTTTGATTTTTAAAAAGTACATTTTAAACAAAAACTAGTCCATATATATAAAGACAGCTACTGAATACTCAGAAAGGGAACCCTATCAAGAAGATCTGCAGGGTTACTGAGATGCCTCACAGGCAAAGCTACTCAACCACTGAACATGACAACCTGGATTTGATTTCTAAAGAGAGAACCAACTGGTACCCTCTGACCTCTACATGTGACATGGCACACATGCTCTTACACATATATAAACAGAGACATACACAGTAAATAAATGTTAAAGTTTTAACTTAAAAAACTTATAACAATAATAAACATTTAAACTTAGTACCCAGTTTTATAAAAAACATGATGATAGATTGGTCTAGATTCAATAATGAATGGCTTCAAACACTACTATTATTGAAAAATTATCCAGACCCACCCCTCTCAAAAAAATCAACAAAGAAACAATTCAGTGACAATAGAAATAAAATGACAGTTTCATGAAGTAGCCATAGAATACATATTCTCTTCAGCAGCCAATTGAACCATCTCTAAAATAAATCACATTATCATCCATAAATCAAATCTTTAAAAAGTAAGAGAATCAAAACTATTTCTTGTGTTTTAAAATTACAAGTCAACAACAAAAGAACTATACAATACAAGGAGATTAATACTCTTAAATGATCGTTGAGTCATACATAATGTGTTTAAGTAATGAGTCCTTGAGAAACTCATAAAAGAAATTTTAGAAGTCCTAGAAGCAAATGAAAATAAAAGTACAACTTACCAGAACCTTTGGGATATAGCAAAGTCTGTAAGAAGTGGAAATTTTATGTCTGAGTGCCTATATTTAGAAAAAATGTAAGAGAAGTCTTAAATAAATAACCTAATGGTGTACCTCAAGGTTGTAGAAAATCAAAAACAAACCTAACCCCAAATGAAAGCATAAATAATAAAGATCAGAAATAAAATTAAATGGAAACCAAAAGAACAATACATATGATCAATGAAGGAGTTGGTTCTTTGAAAATATAGACAATGTTCATCAATCCACATCCAAATTAGCCAAAATAGAACACTTAAATTTAGAATTTAAGAGATGAAAAGGGGATATTACAACAGATAACCATTGAGAGCCTAAAGATCATTAGAAAATACTTTTTTAAACTTACATTTTGATAAATTGGAAAATCTAGAAGAAGGAATAGAATTATAGACACTTATTATCTAGCAAAATTGAACTAATCTATTTTAAAAACATAAACAGATAAGCAAAGAACAATATTAAAGCAATAATAGTCTCCCAACCAGCAGAGTTCAGGACCTGATAGATTCACTGCTGGATTCTGTCAGACTTTTTTTGGTTTTTCGAGACAGGGTTTCTCTGTGTAGCTTTGCGCCTTTCCTGGAACTTGCTTTGGAGACCAGGCTGGCCTCAAACTCACAGAGATCTGCCTGCCTCTGCCTCCCGAGTGCTGGGATTAAAGGCGTGCGCCACCACCACCCGCTCTGTCAGACCTCTTAAAGAGAGTCACCAGCAGTACTCCTGATTTCCTTCCTCAGGCCATGACAAATAGGCTGAGAAAAGCAGCTTGGAGAAGGAAGGGGTTAGTTTAGTTCACAATTGCAGGTTAGAGAACATCATTGCTGGAAGCACAGTGGTGGAGCGTGAGCCACACCTCATGCACACTCAGTAGCAGAGAGACGGATATCTTCATGCTGCACACTTAATTGCTGCCAGCCAGCTTTCTTCTCTCTTTTCAATGCCTAGGACATGGTGCCACCTGCAATGGGCTTGGTAATCAGTTAACCATCAAGACACAGAATTACTCACTGGCCAACCAGATCTAAAGAATTCCTTTTTTAAGACTCTCTTCCCAGATGACTTCAGGTTATATCAAGGTGACAATTAAAACTAACCAGCATACTCATCAGACTGTTCCCATAAACTAGAAAGGAAGGAGGTACTTCAGAATTCATCCTGTGAAGGCCACTGTTACTCTGATACCAAAGCCTGATAAGAGCAAAGAAAACTATAGACTAACTTCCTTAATTCAGAAATTCTTTTTTAATTGAAGAAATAAATTTTTTTCATTTATTCTTTTACACAACACCTCCCAACAACAGCCTCTCCTCTCTCCCCTCCTTCAAGCCCCTCTGTCTCTCCCCCATATCCACTGCTCCTCCATTTTCCTTCAGAAAAGAGCAGGCCTCCTAGTGATGTCAGCTGAACATAGCATAACAAGATGCAGTAAGACTAGGTAGGCATAAACCCTCATATCAAGGCTGGACAAGGCAACCCAGTAGGGGAAAAAAAGGTTCCATGAGCAGGCCAAAGAGTCAGAGACACCCCCACCCCCATTGTTAGGAGTGTCATAAGAACGCCAAGCTAAACAACCACCGCATGTATACAGAAGACCTAGTGTAGACCCATGCAGGCTCCGAGATGCCCCTTCAGTCTCTGTGAGCCCTGCTTAGTTGATTCTGTGTGTGATGTTCTCCTGGTAGTCCTGATCCCTCTTCCTCCTACAGTCCTTCCTCCCCGTCTTCTGTGGGGTTCCCTAATGTTTGGCTGTGGGTCTCTGCATCTACTCCCATCAGCAGCTAGAGACAGTCTCTTTAATGACTATTGGGCTAGGCACTGATCCTATGAGTATAGAGAACATCATTTCATTGCCTTTTTTTTTTTTTTTTTTTTTTTTTTTTTTTGTCAGTCCTGTCTGGTTCTCTCCACAGAGCCTGCATGGGCCTACATGTGCTACGCCTTAATCAGACGATAAGTTAATAATGTAATACAGCACATAAATTGGATCAAATATAAAAATCACATAATCATTTCAGCAAATGCAGAAAAACTTGACATAATTCAGCATCCCTTTATGATGAAAGCCATGAAGAAACTAGGAGAGTAAGGATCATAACTCAACCTAATAAAGGCTGTATATGACAAGCCTACACTGCATTATAACAAATGGGGGAAATTGAAAGCAGTTCCTCTAAAGGAATAATTCAAGGATCTCTATCTACTCTTGCTACTCTTACTTAGTGTACTGCTTGAAGTCTTGCCAGAATACCACAAGACATTTAAAGCCAACCCATAGGAAAGTGTGTTGTCATTTTTTTTTTTTTTGGTTTTTTGAGACAGGGTTTCTCTGTGTAGTTTTGGTGCCTGTCCTGGATCTCACTCTGTAAACCAGGCTGGCCTCGAACTCACAGAGATCCTCCTGGCTCTGCCTCCCGAGTGCTGGGATTAAAGGTGTGCACCACCACCGCCCAGCGTCAAGTTATCTCTTAACTGCCAACCCATCCTATGCTTAAAACACTCTTAAGACTACCATAAAACATTTAGCTCTGGCAAAGTAGCATACTACAAAGTCAAAATACAAAAATCATTAGTTTTTCTGTGTACCAATGGCACACTCACTGAAAAAGAAGTCATGAAACCGATTCTAATCTAGTCTACAGTGCATCACTAAAATACTTAGCAGGGATGTTTTTAAAAATCAGTATATGAGACTGGTGTGCTGCCTGCTGCCCTAAGAGGGCTTCAGTAGTGGAGAGGGTGCCTGCACTGGCCATCTACTACAATCAGATTGGTGACTACCATAACTGTCATCACAGAGCCTTTATCCAGTAACTGATAGAAGCAGATGCAGAGATCCACAGCCAAGCACTGGGCCGAGCTCTGAGAGTCCTCCAGAAGAAAGGGAGGAGGGATTGTTATAAACCAGGGAGTTCAAGGTAATGATGAAGGAACTCGGAGAGACAGTTGACCTGAGCTTGTGGGAGCTCTGGACCAACAGTTATAGAGCCTAGATGGGACTGACCTAGGCCCTCTGCATGTGTGTGACAG